GGGTGGGGGGATGGGTTAGCCTGGTGATGGGTATTCAAGGGGGCACGTTCTGCATGGAGCACTGGGTGTTATGCACAAACAATGAATCATGGAACACTACATCAAAAACTAATGATGTGATATATGATGATTAACATAACAACAAAAAAATAAAAAAAAACTTGCATTTCTTGAATCAGTATCTGTGGGATTTGAATCTAATTCAATGGAAGACCCACAGCTGGTGCCCGAGATTAACAGAATGGCCAGGAGAGGGACCCAAGGAAGACTCAGTCCCTCCTGATCAAGCTCAACACTTAGGTGGAAACCATGTCCTGGTAGGTCTCAGGTCTGCTGAAAACAATTTCCTCAAGCCTTTTTTTTTTTCAGTCAAGGAATATAAATATCTAGCATTTATGCTAGTGCCAGGTACAAGCACTTTACAAACTATTTACTTGCCCAAAGTCACAAAGAAGCCTCACTCCAGTTACCTCCCTCTTCCTCCAATTTACACTGTCGCCAAAGGAAGACACGTCTTGTCTGTAACACAGATCCTGGGAATCTGGGTCCTCATAATCCTTAGAGTAGGGGCCAAGTCACTGCCAAATTGAAGGCTCGGGGACCAAGAAATAGGCTTTGGTCCAGCCTTGATATTGATGAGCTTGGCAAATTAACACCTCCCTCTAAACTGTGAAGATCAAAAGCACTTTATCTGACACAGGATCCCAAACCAAGTCTCTTCCTTACCATTTCTTACCCAGAATAATAACCATCCTGACTCCTGACCAGCCATGATGCAGGGTGTTTTATATGGGCACCATCTCTAATTCTGTTTTTTGTTCCATAATTTCCTAGGACACATTTCTTATGGAATGTGTCCCTAATACCCCAGGCATGTCTATAATGACCTCCTGTATTTTCCTAATTACAAATGTGTGTCTAATATGACCTGGGATGTCTCTCTAATTCCCCAAGTGTGTTCACCCTGGTGTGGGTTATCTCCCTAATTCTCCAGGTGAGTCTACCTTGACATGAATGTCTCCAGAATTCCCCAGTTGAACGATTTTTTCCCAGCTTTATTAAGATATAATTGACATATAATTAATCTCTAATTCTTAAAAGAATCCTGTATTTATCCCCATTTGACAGATCAGAAAATCAAGATCTAGAGGCTTCAGTCAGGTTCAACAGTAGGCGGGAACTGGGTCTGATCCACCCCTTTCTCCTGTGACACGGCAGCGTCTTCAAGGAGTCTCCAGGCACCAGTCCTCCACGTTGAGACTCTGTCCACTGTGCACCCAGTGCCCACCCTCCAAATACATACATTCTGAACACTCTGTGCTTAACGACTAGTATGTCTCTACTGGAGAATGGGCGAGAGAGGGGTAGAGGGAGAGAGAAAGAGTGTGTGTGTGTGTGTGTGAGAGAGAGAGAGAGAGAGAGAGAGAGAGAGAGAGAGAGAGAACCCTCCAAACATCTTAACATGGGCACCCTGGGGGGGATGAAAATGATTTTTCAGGTTGTATTTTGATGCACTGTGGGGCACATATGTGGGTGTTAATGTAATTTTGCCCTTAAGTGCATCTCCTCCAAGACAGGGTCCATAGGTCAACTGGTATAACGTTATGGTTAAGGATATGAGTGGTACAGGGCTTGGTGAAGGGAGACAGCTATATGGGGGCACAATGGAGAAGGAGACAGAGTACCCCTGAGTAATCAGAAATGGGTGGAGGAGAGAAAGCACGCTGTGCCCCTCTTGCTCCTCTACACCTGGCACCTGGCTAGTAAAACCCCCACCACGATATGAACCCAACCACCCACCCCTTCTCACCATCACCAAGAGAGCTGAGCCAAGCTCTGGCCAAATTTCACCAGAAATCATGGTCACCAGCTGTGTGATGTCTTCACGCCTCCGGGATCCACTCCCTCCCAGCTTATTCATTTCCATGGTGGTTCTACCCAGCCTGTCTTCTCTCCTCATTCTCCAGCACCCTCTCCGCGCCATCGCCCAGTGCAGATGACCGATCACCCTCGACTTCCCAGGGAAAACAGAAAATAACCCTAACAGCATCCTGACACCAGAACCACAAACTTGCCCATTTGGTACCCAACTTGTTCCCGTTTTGACGCCAGAAGAGCCATCCCTCCTTCCTAAAGCCAATCTCCCTGCCCATGTAGGCAATGATCCTCCCCCCTCGCCTTCCCCCTCTGTCCAGGGACCTTGGGCATCCCATGAACCCTTCTTGCTCCTGGCTCTCTGGCCTCCCCCTCCGCTGGACCACTCTCCTCGGCACTGAAACATGCCCACCTCTCTCTGGTCTTGCACACGCCCCCACCCCTGCCCAGCTGCCGCCACCTCCTCCCCAGTCCACACCCATCTTCCTAAAAAGGCTGTCGTCACCTCTCAGCCCCTCTTCTTCATCTCCCACTCACTACACAGCCCACTGGGATCTGCCTCCACCGCCCAGGGGCCTCCATGGTGCCAGATCCAATCAGCTGTTTTCACACCACATCTCACTGTCTCCTCAGCGATGTCAGTCCAACTGATCCCTTCCCTTCCTCTTGAGAACGCCCCTCCATTAGCGTCCAGGACCTCACGCTGCCCCCCTTCTCCTTCTCCAAGGCCAGCTCCTCTGCCTCTACCCAACCTTCCACGCTGGAGTTTCTCAGCCTCAGTCCTGACTCTTCTCCCTTCCTGCTCTACACCCTCTCCCCAGTTGGACCTCAGGCTCAGTTTTAATTCCCAGCTAGGTGCCACATTTCCACCTCCAGTCTTGGCACCCCTCTGAGCTCCAGATGTGAGCATCTCAACACCTCCCCCCCTCCGATATTCCCACCTGGTGTCTCCCAAGCATCTCAAGGGAAACATGTGCAAAGCTGCAGTCACGTTGCCCTTCCCCAACCTTGCACCTGTGTGTCCCTCATCCGGTCCTCCATGCAGTTAATGAAGCCACCAACTTGGGGCTTACCCTCGGTCACCCCTCAAATGCAGTGAAACTCCTCTGAACTATCTTTTAAACCTACCCACTTCTCTCCATTCCTACCACCACCACCCTGGTCCAGGCCACACCATCTGCTACCTGGACAACGGCCACAGCCTCTGTCCTGGTCTCCTGTTCTTTTCCCCCACAACCCAGCCCCCCTCACGTAGCCAGAGTGGTCTCTAGAAAGATGATCACCTCACCACGCCACTCCCATGCTTACCATGCTTTGATGGCTCCCCACTGTCCTGAGGATAAAGTCCGCAGTCTCAAACATGGCCCTGTCATCCTCACACGGCTGCCCCCTCATGACCCTTCTAGCCACAGTGACCCTGCCTGCCTCCAGGCCCTCAAACGGGCTGTTCCCTCTGCGGGAATGCTGTGGTCACCACACCTCCCCCCTTCATCTGGCTCATTCCTACTCGTGCCTCAGCAATAGGTTGGTTTAGAGGACTTCCCTGATACTCTCTAGAGTGGGTCAGAGCCCATTACACACCCCTCAGGTGGCTCTGCGCTCCCCTCTGAAGCACTCATCGAACGCGTAGTTAGCGAACTGCTTGCATAATTATT